GTATTATATATACGAACCCTCTTCGATAGCGATATCAGTCCGCGTCAACGGGAACCAAGTTAGCACGGCACCGAGTGAGTCATCGTTATTTTGCAACCCTCCTCAATTGTTACACACAAATAAAACGTAAATATATATATATATATGTGTGTGAGGTATGGGTTGGTAAACAGTGACTATTATAGCTATATAGCGAGACTCTTCGCAGATGCAATTGAGTCACTGTCGGTCACTGGGCGTGTTTGTAAATAAATACGCTAAAAATTCACTTTCATCCTACCGTGCGCGGACGGCTTAATGGTTAGAATCTCCGACTGACACCAATTCAGTCGTGTTTCGATCCTACTAGAGGCAACCGGATGTCTATCACACTGATGAGCTGTGAAACAACGAAACAGTCTGTCTGTGGATGACGTTATATATATATATATATATATATATATATATATATATATGAGACAATGTGTATTTCATCTTGATATTATTATTATAGACTAAGTAAATGCTTACATATGCAAACATTCACATGCATGTAAATCGATGTTAGACTTGTTGAGTCATGTAAATTGTATTTGTAAATAACCCGACTTGTCACAGGCGGAGCATTGGACTAAATCCGACAGTATTGATTGCTAACGCATCGGTTTTAGTAAGCTTCGGTCAAATTCGAAAAATATTGTATTGAAGGCGTACACGATGAGGGGGGGGAGGATTGTGGAGAATTAGGAAATGCCAGCTTAAAGACGTGGGAGGAAGTCGTTAGACGTTTGGAGGGACATTTTGTAAATCCATGAAAAATGACCTTATTTTAATCTGTGTTGTAAAACTTCTGACTTTTGGTCTGCTTAGCGGCTAAAAATGTAGAAACTGGCGCCCGCCTTCAAGATTCGATAATAAATAAATAAAGAGACGTTGACAAAATCTACAAATAAAGGTGCCTACATCGAATTAAAATCTTTGCTAACAATGAGAGGGTGGGATGATTATTTTCGGATTGACACACATTCCAAAATTTGACGAAATGACCAATCCTCGGAATTAATTTTAGATTTCATTCTTGGACACCACGAATGTTCAGATGATGCATTGGATAGGGGCTTGGAATAAGAAATAGGAAAACCCAGTTCGAATTCTTTGTCGGCTTCGTAACATTCACTTACGAGACAATATAATATTTGGAATAGTGACAGATTTTCGTCCACGGCCTTAAGACATTACAAAATGTGTCAGATATCACACAAGGTTTAATGTAGTGTTAGAAATAGAAACAACAAAGATGAAGATACTAGTCGGTATAATTTATCTTTCTATACAGCATAAAAAAACCCAGCAGGAAACCCAGTCAGAATATAATGATAAAACCATCAAAGGTGAAGATATTACTCTATATGATATAGTCTATAGTGTTTAAGCTGCACTCTCGAGTAGTTTGTAACGCATTATTTATCATCTCTCAGTTGCGTCTCTGTCTTTGGGCAGATTGCGCTCAGGGGCGGCTTCGTCAAAGGACAGAGTCGCAACTGAAGAAAATTTATACTGAGAAATGTCATGCTCTGGGAACAGCTGCCTTTAGCCGCGCTCTCTCATTGCAACAGAGAAAGGGATGGGTGCTCGCGGACAATTTTCGTTCCTAGCCCGGGTGTACACGCTCGGGTCCCCACCTTAAAAAAGACCTAGTGTCACAACTCGTCTCAGAGTAAATACCTAATCTATATGATATCTGAAGGGTATTTTAATGTTTCACAGACTTACTGAATCAGTTCAGCCAGTTATGTGCCATGCATGATACACGCTTAGGCGATACATGACTGGCGAGGTAGATTTTTTTCCGCAGTAGGTTGCCATTTCTTTCTGCGGTAGACCAGTTGTCATCCAAGGCTATAGACCCCGGTCTGTCCTGCTATTTACCCATAGCCAGAGGGAGAAGAAGTGGATTCATACCTTTCCCAAGGGTAATCGTACGTAAGTGAATGTAATGGATTCGAACTCGGCTCTCCGATTCCTCAATCCGAGCCGCTATCCATTACTCCACCGCGCCCCCCGGCTTACTGAATAGGCTTTGTTTTGTATTAGAAGCGTTTTATTTATTTTTGCAGTCGTGGATTAAATAAAGGGTTCAGTTCAGAATTGATTGTAGGTTACCCAGATCGGTATAAACCTGATGAAGACCGGTGGGCACAACTGTCGAAACGTTGTGATAACAAAAACAAAAATGAGGACATTAGTCCAAATAAAAAAAAAAGTTCTTCTGAGTTTGTCTTAGATTGTATTTAACGGCTGTAAAAGAGTATTTAAGTTCAATGTAATATCCACCCACCGATATGTCAGTGAATGCTGAACAATTTTCTTGTAGATGAAGAGGAGACTTGTGGCGTCGGAAATGTGGTTCTACAGAAGGATGCTGAGGATACCATGGATAAAGTGCATAAACAACGATGACATCACAAAGAAGATGGAAACAAAAAATTACTTGCGCGTAAGTGAATATAACGAACCCAACTGTAATTGAAACTCGCTTCTCCGATTAAAAATTCTGAGCCTTTATGCATTACACCACCTTCACATCCAAGCTTACAACACCTAATATTCCCAAACAGCTACCCACCAGTCTCGACGTTGCTCAACTGCGGTGGTCGTACGGGAACTGATATTTTAAACTTAATATAGCTGTTAGCCCTTTATACCACCCACACATTCCAGCTTACAGAACCTGGTATTCCTGCGCAGTCACCCATCTAGGTACTGACCAAGTTCGACTTTGCTTAACTTCGGTGATTGTACGAGAACCGGTGTTTCAAAGTGAAATGGCCTTAAGCTCTTTATATCACCAGCACATCTAAGCGTACACCTAATGGTATTTCTAAGCGGTCACCCATCTAGGTACTGACAGGCTCGACGTTGCTTGATTTTAATAATCCTATGGGAACCGATGTTGCAATGTGAAACGGCCCTAAATACTTTGTACCACCCACACACCAAAGCTTACAGAACCTAGTATTTTTAAGAGGGCACCCATGTAAGTACTGACCAGACTTGACTTTTCTTAACTTAACGGACACGGCACATCTTACTAAATAACTACCTTAATTCCCCCTTCATCCATAATACGCACCCATAAAACTGTGCTGAAAGTGTGGGAAAATGCATTTACTCACACATAATACGCACCCCTTGTTTGGTAATCAAAACCTATAAATTGTACCTCATTTCATTATGATCAGCGTTTCCTACACTTATTTAAAAAAAATGGTTTTAAACAGAATAATATTATTTTAATTTAGTTTTATGATAATTCTTATCTTATTTTACTGCAATTTTTACAAAGTTTTTTGTAGCTGTGCATAATACGCACCCCTGATTTTGTTTATTTTTTTTTTAGAAAAAATGCGTGTTATACATGCAGAATTAGCATAACTATTGTCTTTTTTGGATTCCTTTGTGTTACTTCATTTTTTCTCTCTTACAAACCTACCTTAATTTTAATGTTTTCATTCTAACGGGCAACCATTCTATTGTGTCGCCAGCAACAAAAAGTCCGTAGTGGCGTCTATCTCCGATCAGAGATCAGACAGAAGACCACAGACAATATTCAATATTCTATAGATTAAGGGAAAAAGTAATTTAACCATTGGATTTCTTATTCTTATCTTTCTTTACCGGTCCCTCTCAAGTCGGCCAAGCCATTCATACTTTAATGATCGTCTCTCCATTGTCTCCTCACAATCCGCCATCTTTACTTTCATATTCATTTTGACTATGACGGTACCATTTTTTAAAAGCGAGAACGTAATCTTTTCAGCTTTCCTCTCAAATAAAAAGCAATTTTCTAACTATTTTTGCTGTATTTATGTGTTTCCTGAACATCTCTTCCATCTTCGGCTTACTTTTAATCGACATTTTGTATCGTTTATCTATGTATATAAAACAGAATATGTTTGTGTGTGTGTCTCTCTGTCTATCTGTGTAATACTTTTATCATTCGAGTTCCATCCAACTGATTTTGACCAAACTTGGCATAAAACATTGTACAATGCAAAATATCGATAATTCATAAAAAATCAATTATCAACAAAGCTGATCAAAAATCGATAAATTCAACTTTTTTCTTCCGATTTCAGTCAAACTCGGTATGTAGGTTACTTACATCATGACCAGCTCAATGATACCTGATTTTTAGTTCTACGTCACAGTGTTTAGCGAAAAACCCCGAAAAATATATCCTTTTTCCATCTTTCGTAGCACACTGACAAATTGAATTTCAAAAACTTCAATATAATTCTGGCCTGAAGTGGGTCTTCATGTTGCCTGTTTTACCCCTTCATGTTTTCGGCTAACTTCGATTGAATAAATACAGACTACTTTTGTTGTATCAGTAACTGCATTAATTCAAAATGTTTTTAATGAAAGTACTTTAAAGTAATTGAAGAAGATAAAGTCTGTTACATCTAAACATGATGCTGTTTTTGCTCATTTCTAATTGAACGCTTTTTCTGATCGACCAGCTGGGTATGGCTGCTAGTTCAATATTATTGGCGTATTTTTGTAAGTTAATGCTATGCTTTACTTTTTAAAAAATTCGTCTTCTCTTAAAATCTTTTCCAATCATGAACAAAATCATCCTCTAGATGCTGTGTCTCCTCAGAACGTAGGCGATCATTGGTCTCCACAGCTTCCTATCCTTCGTAGTCCTTAGTAATGTTTGACTTTTTACTATCCCTTTCATACCTTGTTCTGCCACTCTTCTATACAATATATATATATTGTTGTTTTCCTCTGTCTTTAACGATTTTCCCGACTAATTCAGTACCAATTGAAGGCAATAAGGAAAATTGTGCTATGCTACTATTACCAGTGGACGAGGCATAATCTTTATATGCAAATCAGTATTCCAATTTTTTCCCTGCCGTAACCTTGGTTCCCTGTACATTTTTTTATGAATACTTTCAAGGTAATTGATATGCCACTAAACATACTGAGCTTGTAGCTTTTAATAAATGTTAATGCTTCTCCTATTATTCCTGACCCTTTTCGAACCCGTTCGAACATCCATTTACTCAAATTCTTTATGTCGCACTTCTTTCTTTCTTTCTTTCTTTCTTTCTTTGTACCGTGTCCTTTCAGAACGTGGGCGATCATAGCTGTCCACTTCCTCTTATCCCTGCAGCTCTCAATAAGTTTCGTCCCTCTGTCACCTCCCCCAGGTCACGTTCTGTCATCCACTTACTTAAGCCCGCTAGGTATGTCATACGCTGATTTACCTTGTCTCTCTTTCGCTCTATTCAACCTGTGAGTATCAGATTCTCCAGGCCCTCCTTTCTCATTATGTGTCCAAGAAATTTTGTCTGGTGTTATTCATAAGCTTCCTCCTTGTTTGCATCCTCTCCAAGACCTCATCCTTACTCACACTCTCGTTACATGATATACTCAGCATCCTTCTGTAGTACCACATCTCTGTCGCTTAGAGTCTTTTATTCATCTTTGAGGAGACCGTTCAATATATGCTGCCATAAAGAAGGATAGATGTCACGTAACAGCTCAGTATTCTTTTCTTTGTTACCAAATAAATCCTCCTGTCTCGCAATACTCTGTCCAGTTTTGGGAATGCGTCATTGGACATAATTTTTCAAAATTTGACCAATAACGACTTTTTTTAAAAATATCTTCTTGACCGGAACCTGGACGTTACAGTACTTTCTCAGGAATATGAAGTGTAAAAAAAAGTTCCAGCGAAAAACTTCTAACTATGCATTCAGGCTTTATTTAAAAACAAAACTGTTCTGGGTACTTTCGTAAATATCAAATAAGTAATAAAACATTCGCCTTGAATATTTTTGTTTCTTGGAAAATTTCTTTGATTAATTAAAAAAAACTTTTATGATGTCAACAAACACTGGCTGTCACTTTCGTAATGCTCGTTGTAGTAGAGACTTTGTAATCGCAGATACAACTATAGTACACCGTTGAACAATACTGGTGTCAGACGCCTTCGAATATCACTCACACTAATAGTACTTGCTCGATAATACTCGCTCGAATAGTAACCACCGTATAGTGATCCGAATAGAGAAATAGTATAGTGAGTAGAGTAGAGAATAGCGGTCCGTTTCTTAATAGAGGATAGACTAGAAATGCGGATCAGAATACTAATAGACGATAGACTAGAAATGCAGATCAATTAGACGCACGCTATCTTCCATATATGCGTTTCCTCTATGGTCACGTGGCCTACTTATTTCAATAATAGGATCGCTTGTATTTGCTCACTGGCGTTTTATGAAGCGTCGAACTGAAGTGTCGGCAGCGACACTTTATTCCTATATAACAAAAACAAAACAAAAACTACTTTCAAACACTAACCATTTAACCTCCGAAACAAATTCAGTTTGATTTATTATCCGTTTTCGACTAAACCCTCCTCAGAATCATAGTTCCGCTCATTGACCGTTTACATACTTTATTCTCTTTTTCACCCAGTACAAGGCTAAAGAGCCATTCAAGGTAGTGTTACTGAATGAGGTTATGTTTATGGCTTACAGAGGAGGAACAAGATGTGAATATTGTAAGTATATGTAAGGTAGATAACAGTTGGTCCTTGGCTTGAAGTGGTAAATATTGTAGTGATCAGGGAACCATTTTTTTCAAGAATCTGGTCCACTATGTAGCAGTTCTGTGGAAGAAGTTGTCTGAGTGGAATTTCCTCTTTATAAATGGAATACGAAGGGAACAAGTCGACTCTCTGTACGTGGCATGGCGGGTCCTAGCTGTGAAGGTCTAGACTGGAGGAACTAAGGAATGAAGCTTTTCTAGACATCTGTCATAACAATAGCAATAGAGTAGCGAGATAGGCTGGTAATTTTTCTTCTGTGAGAAAGCGGTTGCAGCGTAAACGCTTTTGAATTGCATCATGGTTGGAACAAAGGATTAAATAGCTCAGATATAACAGCAATTCTACATTTTTGGTCTGGATCTTGTAAAGATATAGTTCGGTAATTTCTAGATGGATAAAAGGAACCGATCATGTTTCCGGCCGTCCTGGGTTGACGATAAACTACATCCACATACTGGGTAATAAACTACGTTCAACAGCAAGGCGTGTGATTAAGAGGTTTTAAGGAGTGTGGAACTACCTTTTAATTGCTAGTGTTCCCAGTGTCACCCTGACCTGGGGTGGAAGCACCTGTTAGAGGGTGCCTAGTTATGGGCAAATTGTTGACCATCAACCTGGGGTCAAAAAATCATAAAAGGACAGATCTATCGACCTGAACTTCTGCAGCCAATAGATGACGGTGCATTCACTGACAGAATTATCCCTAAAGCCTTGAGGTATTCGGCGGCATGATGCGGCGACGAGCAAACCAACCTAAAAGTAGTAAAGAAGACAACCATGAACTTCGACACCGCCATGTTTCCTCGCGGCTGTTCGAGATACGCCTGATGTGTGTGCGCAACGCATCTGTATTGCTTAAGAGCAATGGCCCCACTCCCACCCGCAGCTTTTACCAGGTGCATAACACATTTATTTGCGTATCAATGATCATTTCTTCTCTCATGACTTAAAAAGCGGTAAGGACTTAGAAAAAAACCTCGATCATCTAAATTTTGGGATAATTTTATCCCGGTCTCGAAGACAAGCAGTGTGTATAGAATGGAAGGAAATGGATCAAGGGATATTGTGCTGCCTCAGTTTCCCAAGTTGCGGTGCGTCAAATCTTCTGTCTATAAAATCAGCATTCGAGATAGCAGATTTTATCTGAGTTCGAATTTTTGTCTTTGACACTATTTAATTAATCTGCATATGTCATTAAATATATACACTGTTTGTTTCTTTATATTTTCTTAACTCTACGTTCAGTTTTTAGTTTCACTCAGTTCAGACTTTTAACACCATTCTACCTCCATCGAATCGAATCACCGACATTTCCCCCGTATTCCATTTGTAAGGTGGAAGTTCTATTCAGCTTTTTCCAGAGAACTGTTAGTATTTGGGGCAAAGTTCTGCGTAAATGTTTCCGTGAACACTGCTGCTCTTTAAGTCAAGTGTCAATCTCTATCTCATCTACTTATCCTCAAAGCTTTCACTTCCTTTTCTCTCCTCATACGTCCATATTTACACGCGACTATTCTACCGCGTGTGGCTCTGTAGTTCTGTATTGAGTGGACTTCAGTGCATGTATATATCAATCAGTTAATGGGCACCTCGACGTGGTGTAATAGTTAGAAAGCTTGTCTTGCTAGATCAATTACAACTGAGTAGTGAGTTCGATCCTCACTAGGTGCCCCATACTTTCGGCCTTGTGCCACATCAAAGCCGGGCTTAGAAAATCACTATATCAATCAGTTAAGTGACAAATTATGGTTTGAAATGAAAGGTTACGGCGAAACCACGTTGAAACATAGGTTCCCATACGAGACCCGAAATTAAGCAATGTCAAGCCTATTCAAGTGACCGCTTGGCAATACAAGTTGCTGGAGGCTTGGATGCGTGGGTGGTGTAATGGATAATGACCCGGAATTGTTAAACGGAGAGCTAAGTTAGTTTCGTTATATTCACTTACGCGTAAATACCTTGAGGAAAGGCATGAATCCACCTCCCACCCAGATATGGGTTAATTAGTATGATTATCATCACTAAATCGTAAGTAAGTTTTGCTATATTTATAAGGAAGACTCCGTAGTAGTAGAGACTGAGCCTTTGTAGATATTTATAATGTGGATATAGTCAACAAAATTTCACGTCTCAAGTGATCTTCAGAATATGTGTCACTAGTTCTTGGGAATCGTGGTATATATATATATATATATATATATATATATATATATATATAAAAGAAAAACAGACCATTTCAGGTTCCATTATAATAATTTATTTCACCAGAGCCCTTTTAAGGGACGCTGGATCATCAGATAACACTCCATATATATATATATATATATATATATATATATATATATATATATATATATATTATTTTATATGCACTGTACTTAGTAGAAAGTTCTCAATATCAATGATATTCAGTTCAAAAGCGTGAAACTCAGGGTCACAAACTCATATCCATACAAGTCAATATATAAATTGAGATATGTTTCACTGAATAATTTAGAAAAGTTTAGTCTACTTATTTTCAATTGGATCCTTTCATATTGCAGGCCAAACTTTTTGTTGTCATTATGAAAGGAAGAGAGAAAAATCACCATGTTGTTACACATTAATTTATTCCGAGTTCTTTCGACATAGCACAAATTCATCATCAGGGTGTTGTTTATTTCAAGAGAAATATTGTACTGTTCATCATTTTGATGAAGACAGCAATTTTGTTTTTGAAATTAATGAACACTGCAATATTTTTTGAAGCAAACAACACAATGATGGTGACACTGCGCTAATGTGTATATGAATAATTAATAAAAATATAGTTTTAATGGTATGCTCTCTCTCTCTCTCTCTCTCTCTATATATATATATATATATATATATATATATATATTGGTTAAAGATCAACATCAGGGATAGAGCGTATATAAATACAAATATAAAAGTGGCCATTGATATCAACATGAAGCGGCGACAGTCTGTCTCATGCTCAAATGTAATCGTCAGTCCTAACGATTGTTTTTAAGCATGAAACAGACTGTCACCTCTGGGTGTTGACCTTAGTGTCCATTTTTACACACATAAACACACACACACACACATATATGTATCTATCTCTCTCTATATATTTACTTATGTATATTCATATATATGTGTGCGTGTGTCTGTGTTTGTGTGTATATATTGATGTAATGGGAAAGAACAATTAGATTAATGATCCAAAGTTCTTTAGTATTTATGTTTTTCTTTTTAAAAAAAAACATTGCCCAATACAGAAGTAGAGCTTAAAATTATAATTATTATTTTAAAAAATATGATTCCATCACGGCACAGAAATTATTGTTTCGAAACTGACTCAAGCCTAAAGTTTAATTTTAATATAAAAATTTAAAATTTGTGCACCATTTCATTCTCAAGTGATGTTTAGAATCTAAACATCGCTTGATAATGAAACGGTGGTCTGAATTTTAAGTTTAATACTGAAATTAAACTTTAGGACTTGAGTTTCATTTGGAAACATAGTAATTTC